TCAAGCACAACACGCCTCAAGCACAACACGACGCGCCTCAAGCACAACACGCCTCGAGCACAACACGCCTCGAGCACAACACGCCTCGAGCACAACACGCCTCAAGCACAACACGACGCGCCTCAAGCACAACACGCCACAAGCATAACACGCCTCAAGCACAACACGACACCCCTCAACCACAACACGCCTCAAGCAGAACACGCCTCGAGCACAACAGTTCAGGGCAATACCACTGTTATAGTATATCCTAAGACGTGTCCTAATTTCACTTCCACCACTCACCTCCCACTACACCGATTAAATGTGTAGTGTTGTGCCAACCCTACCCTTCCCTTGATTGGGAAAAGGGAAGTCTAAATGCCACAAGGTACAGCTGGGAAGTCCACACCCCACAACGTACAGCTGGGAAGACTATTCTACTATGACCAGCTGAGCCGTCCACGTTCGTTCCCGTCCTGAGAAGCCATGAAGGAGAGGAATGGAGGAACCACTTTCAACTTTGAAGTAACCTGGTACATTGATCGATCAAGCAAGAGCATCAATCATTTAACATTGATAAGTTAATTTGTAAAAGGTCTGATCATATACAGTTTTATTACAAGGAAATGACTATAAATGATGAATATAAGCATTATGGTAGGCCAATTTCCACAGTCAATACAACCTAGATTGTAAATTATATGCAAAGATAGATCTAAGTCTAAGCCATTATTAAATTATATGCTATTAATTCTCATTTCGTCAAAAACATTTATAACTTCTATAAAGTGTTGTAAATTCTATGTAAACAAATAAGTTATAGATTTCTGAGTCAATATATGTGAATATGATCGGAATTATGTCTATTTGTGTGTGGATTGAATCAAGCATAAGACCCCTAGACACGAGCAGGGGATAACTTATACATAAGTTATCCACCTCCACAATATAACATAGAAGTCATTTCACCACAAGGACACCTCAAGGTGCGGAATTAACCCGGGCTCCTCTGGCATGTCTTTTGTGCTCTGTAGCGATGTTCTGAAGGCTTCATGTCGTATGGGGTCTTTGTGTACAGAGGAATGCCACGATGCGCGATCCTTTGTCGATTCTTATCATGTGTCCATGTCTATTTCGAACGCTTTCAGTGGGGCTTTTAGGTTGTCTTACTATAGAGCGTTTCTCCCGTATACACCAAAAAAACCGCCTTCCATGCAATAGCTGACCTACAGTATAATAATTCATTAGCTGCCGTATTCTGAAAGGCATGACAACGTATAATTACTTCAAAAATTAAACATAAACACTTCCTTCTACTCTACAGGCGTTTTCGAGGTTTTTGCAAAATTTCGCATATCTGTGGAAAAATTCAGGAAAGCAAATTAGTTAGGTTCAGGAATCCCAACTGCAAAAGGTATAACTGTCCATTATTATGATTACTCAATTGACTTTTTAATGCACATGACCAATTTAACATGCATAATCATGTCTCATAGAGGTACCTTCTAAAATGGGATACTGATGTCCTTCATTAGCATGCAATGGTGGTATCAACCAGACTGGTGGAAGTTAGTAGGATGCAGACATAATAAAAGGAGTCTTTCAAAAATCACATGTCTTTTCCTCTGCTCAAAATGTGTTTGTGATGTTTTCATGAAACATTTCACTCAAAAGTGATTAGTGAACTTATACCGGTAGTTAATACATCGTTGATGCCTCCTTTTAAACATCTTGGTGAACGTTAACTAGGACAGTTTAGTCAAATGAAGCAGGGGCAGTTTAGTAAAGTGAATCATGGACTGGTTAATTTTCACTTAAGGTTGATACCTGATTGAGTCCTTAATGATTTAAATGTTATCTTACTTTTCGAGTTTGTCTTTGTTTTTATTTTATTTTGCATGCAAAAAATGTAGACTCTGTCAATGGAGCCATCATCTAACGCCTTATATCATTGTTCTGTATAATTAATTTATAACATGATTTTATTACTATGATTTTTTAATAATTTTTTTCTTTTTTAAATTAAACTTCAATGTGTTGACTTCCTCATATTTTTGCAGCTTGGATTTTAATTTTATTAAGTGATTGACACTTCTGAAAAACACCCATGAAGACCAGATCCTGGCCTTAATCTATACGTTAGACTACCCCGGTAATCTGTGTAAGATAAACTCAAGACAACTGGAGATACATCATGAACATTTTTATTGTGACATCTGAATTATTAACATATGGTTATCAATAATAAATAAATTATATTTAATCATATTAAAACAATTATTGGAAACAAGTAAGGATTATTTTTTATATATGTAAACATTTCAATTCAAATTAAACAATACTCAGCAGTAACAGGCAAATCAAGCACCCTTGTTGGGAGGTCTCCTTAAATTATTTCTATAACAAATGACATTATTTTATATTAGTGAATAATATACAAAAACATATTAGACTAGCATTTTATCCAGCCCTGGTCATTTGGGTCAATAAAGTGATGTAAGAAAATATCACAAAAAAGCTCCTCAACCAATGGTTATGAAAGTTGTGAACAGATAGCTTATAATAGTTCTAGAAATAGCTGATACTAGCCACATCAGCTACACAGAGCTGAACACATGAAATTATTTTCATTTATTGCCGTTTATGTGCAATGTTATAGCTGATCCATGAGAACCAAAAAGAACATTTCAATATCCACAGAGTATTCAGTAAAACTTTTGAAAAACATGAATATATAAAATTCAAAAAGCAAGTAAGTACATATAGAGGAAAAAATTACATAATTAAGAGTATTGATTGGATATTTTAATATGTAATGCCAAAATTGTTGTTTTTCTTTTGCATGAAAGGATAAGACAATTTAAATAGTTTTACATTTACCAATAAATTATTGCAATGAGTTACATACTCATAGAATGAAAAATAATATTCCTAAAGTATTTTGTTTATTTATAAATTATTTAGATATCATCCAGCAACTAAATGCTACCCGCTGCATCCAGCAACTAAATGCTACATCCAGTAACTAAAAGCTACCCCTGCTTCCAGTAACTAAATGCTAACCGCTGCGCAGCTTCGAGAGCAGTATTTCATTCTTACGACACTCCTCCTTGAAGTCTTTGACAGTCTTGAAGTAGAGTCTCTGTTTCTCAACTAGGTCCAGATGTTGGTCACTGAACTGGTCTCTCTTCATTTTCTCCTCTTGTCTCTTCTTCTCAGCCTGTTCAAAGGATAAGATAGGGGAAGTCTACATCAAATAAAATATTTAAAATTTAGATTTGCTCAAAGAAAAATCCTGATCAACAAAAAAAATCATTCAAGTTTGTTATCTTTTTTTAAAATTTTAATTGCATTCTGTGTCTAATGAAATATAGTTTATTAGTAAAATTCTTTTAAACAAACCTTAGCCTTGTTTTGTTTGACCCCTTCAACAATTTGCTCAAATTGCTTAAGGAAAGCCTCTTTATTGTTTGGTGATGACATAGCTCTGAACAAATGGAAAAAATATCAATATGAGAAGAGAATTATACAATTTGAAATTTTTAAAAATTATTGAGTGAAAAAAAATTAGCTGCTGTACTATTTTTAAAAAGTGGATATCTAGACTTTCTGTATATTTCATAAAAGCAGGATAGGTTTAGTTACAGTTTTTCTACATATTCAATAGCTAGGTTCACACCTGCTCAAATTTGGCATTTGGTTTAAAATGTTTCTAAAAATTACTGTACTGATTTTAAAAAATGTCAAGTTTAAATTTTTTTTAAACAAACAAAATAAATGGCTTTATTAGCTATAAGACAAAACTTATAAAAAGAAATGGTACAGTCAAAATCAATCAAAAATGAATATTTCAAGCCGTAAAAGGATGTAAAAGGCATTAATTGTTACTTACGTTTGAAAGTTATCATGAATTGAATTCAAAAGCTGAACCTGAAAATGGTTTTAAAATGTTTTTAACTATAATAAAATTAATAAAAAATGCATATTCCAAATTATGTACATATAAACTTTTCTTCAAAATGAAAATAAAAGTAAATTTACACAATATTTTTTAGTAAAATTTATTCAATCTTTACCATAAAAAAAATCTGTTTTACTATGCATGTTATTTAAGAAATTCATGCAGCCAATATAAAAAAAAAACGTACTTCTTTATTTAAGTATGTCTTGGTATCCTCCAAAGTGTTGTAGAGGGTAAAGAACTGTTTAGTTTCAGTGTGCTTGGATGAAACTGGGGACAGAAATAAACCCAATAACTGCAATGCCATACACAAGGGCCCTCGGTCACTATCCCTAAATTAATCCCTGGAATGGTTTTTAGTTTGTGGAATAACATTTACATTAGAGGTCATGAATCAGTGGCTTTGGGTGGAACGTGCCAGACTTAACATTGACATTAATTGTTTTGAATGCAAACATTCTTGTATTCTGAAAGCTCCAGTTTAATGGTATCTTTCAGGACAACAAACTGCCGACCACCGATTCTTCAACTAACTAAAATTTCAACTTATTCAATAAGGTGATCAGATTAAAATATAATAAATGAAATGAAAGCTGCAGCATCTCTCTAAAAAGGTATCAAAGCACGTTTATCAAAGTCATCAGCAAATAGGGCGGAGCATATGCTTAATCCCCATTGGGGTCAATTATGACAGGACACCACATGGTCTTTATGACAGGACACCACATGGTCTTTATGACAGGACACCACATGGTCTTAATGACAGGACACCACATGGTCTTTATGACAGGACATAACATGGTCTATTTTTTCAGCTGGATGCCTACCTTGGTTGTAAAGCTCCACAAATCTTCTCTGGTACTGACTGAGTTCTGCTCTAGAGGGTACTTCATCAATCTTTCTCTGCAGTGCTGAAATTTCACGATTTTTTTTGGCCTGGGGAAATAAATCAATCAAGACTAGAAGTGGCTAAGATTGTCTCTCTGCATTTTATTACAGAAGTCAATAAAGAAATTGCATTGAATTATTTGAAATTAAATTGAAAAGAAACTGAAGAATGTATTGTTAAATACTATTGTGTTTTCTTTGAGACATTACTAAATTATTCCAAAGTTAGGTGGCTTGTTTTGTTAAATGTTATTTTCACACAATAGTTAGTTAAGAGGGCAGATAACTGCCTTAAATAAACGGATATAAAAAGAGTTGTTGAATTACATAAAATTTTTAAAGCAGCATACAGTTTTACTTACAAGTAACAGACGGATCTTGTGCAACTTTTCTTTATCAGCATTATACTGTTTGTCAATCAGGTTCACTCTTTCCTAAAACAACAGTGATGGTCAAGTTTTAAACTGTACTCATGAAATTGATGGTCAAGTTTTAAACTGTACTCATGAAATTGATGGTCAAGTTTTAAACTGTACTCATGAAATTGATGGTCAAGTTTTAAACTGTACTCATGAAATTGATGGTCAAGTTTTAAACTGTACTCATGAAATTGATGGTCAAGTTTTAAACTGTACTCATGAAATTGATGGTCAAGTTTTAAACTGTACTCATTAAATTGATGGTCAAGTTTTAAACTGTACTCATTAAAACATGTTATTTTTTCAGAAATGAACACACATTCAATAAATTTTAATTCCATTCTAACCCCAATGCCATGGGGTGTGTGGTGAGCAGGACTCATGTAGTGCAATCTGTTGAAAAGGGACAATTTAGTGGGCCAGGCTGAGCTCAACAAAGAGGCAAGAAAATTTCAATTCCTTTCCATTTGGTATTTTTTTAAATTATAGATATCATGTCTCTTTTTTTTATTATTTTTATTAAGCCTGACCAAAGTAAATACATATTAAATTACCTTATCCTCTGAATCTGCTTCATCTCCTTCTTCCTTCAACTTCTCAATGTTTTCTTTCAGTCTAGTCATTTCCTCCTGGAAGTACAACAATAAAATATATAAATAAAAAAACGACCATTTAGTTTGATATTCCACTAATTTTTAATGATTGAATAATCAAAATTATTTTACCCTCTTACCTGATGTTAGCTGATTCTCTCACATTTAACCAAAGTTCTCACATTTAACCAAAGCTCTCACATTTAACCAAAGCTCTCACATTTCACCAAAGCTCTCACATTTAACCAAAGCGCTCACATTTAACAAACGCTCTCACATTTAACCAAAGCTCTCACATTTAACCAAAGCTCTCACATTTCACCAAAGCTCTCACATTTAACCAAAGCTTTAACATTTAACCAAAGCTCTCACATTTAACCAAAGCTCTCACATTTAACCAAAGCTCTCACATTTCACCAAAGCTTTAACATTTAACCAAAGCTCTCACATTTAACCAAAGCTCTCACATTTAACCAAAGCTCTCACATTTCACCAAAGTGCTCACATTTAACTAAAGCTCTCACATTTAACCAAAGCTTTCACATATCACCAAAGCTCTCACATTTAACCAAAGCGCTCACCTTACAATGGGCTTTAAATTCCTGCTCCTGTTTTTTCAAATTTTCATTCATTGCTACGAGTGATCGCAGTGTCTGAAGGATGCTGATGAAACCAAACAGAAATGTGGCATGATAACACATACATATTTATACAATTCAACACAAGTGCCTTAAAATTTCTTAAAAAAGGGTATCATGAGTAAAATTCAATAGAAAAGCTGTGAAGACTCATTTTCAACAAATTAAATTGAAGAATATTCAATTAAATTTTATGATAAAATTTTCTTTAGAATTTATAAGATTAATGAATTTCTTGAAAACTTGAGTGCCATTTTTAAAAAAAAGGATAAAGGCGTAATAATGACCCCTGGTTTTCTCCAGCCTCTATCTCAGCAAGTCTCTCCATCTCAGTATCAATGGTAGAACTTTGCTGTTGAACTTCCTCCAGTTTTTGTTTAGTTTCCACATAGGCAGCATGGAGCTCTTTGTGTTTTGTTGCCACCTGGTGAGCAATAATCTCAATAGTGCCATGATTTGTACATTAGGCCTACATTAAACTAAACGTTGTGTTGTGAAATATTTTTTTTTAAATTATTTATTTTGTTACTTGTCTGCAGTTATGGTAAACAGAATTTGTTTTTACATTTTCCCAACTAAGATGGCTTGAAGTAAACCCATTAAAAATGAACAGGAGGCAATAGATTTGATAAATTTCTACTGAAATCTCAAAGCTGCTGTAATAGGTTTGGTAGAACTTTAACTAGATCTAATAGTAATAGTGAAGTCAAAATAATTTTGATGAGTCAGTACAAATATGCTCAAAACCTAAAGTATATCACTGTATCCAGGATTATAACAATATTTACTTAAGTCCCCAATCTTTTAATAACAAGAAGCAGCCATCTTGGATGTAGGCCTCATTTGAAAAATAAAAGGTATCTAATATATGCTTCTATTAAAACTGCAGATGGAGTAATCGAGCTCTATGACAATGCACTGACAGACACTGAAGAAAAATTAAAACTTATTCCTTTTATTGTCATCCAGCACTGACTCATCAGTTTTCACTACTGACCTCATCCAGCTTGCTCTGTTGTAGCTCTATCTGTTTCTTGAGAGCACTGGTTAATCTCTTGTGTTGTTGGGCACCACCTTGGCGCTCTTGTTTTTCCATCTGCTCTATCTCTGCTTGCTGGAGAAAGTCATTGAAAAGGGAAAAAATAAACACTTCCAGAAATTTACACAACCTAATTTTTCTGATCCAAACACTAAGATGTGAATGAGAATGAGACAAATTCTTAAGGAGTAAATAGCATCTACTACCACCCATATGTTACCAATACAATCTGTCATGAATAAATGTCATTGAAGAATCAGCAACATTTGGAAAATGTTTGTTTACAAAAATTGAGAATTTATAATTGCATTTATTTTAAAAGGCAAGAACAAGGGCAGTAACAAAACATTATAGGAGATAAGTTTAAAAGAAGTAGCAGAACTAAGTAATGATATAACAGAAAACATTTAAGGGTTTTTAAATACAAAAATTCATTTAGGGGGTGTTTTGTATCATATTCTAATAAAAAAAACATTATGATATAACCAATCCATTAAAAATCTTATTTAATTAAAGGATTTCAGAGTACTTATTGCGGGCGAAAATCCCACTTGGTTTATTCTTATTTTTTTCTCCCAAAATTCTTTTTTATTTTCTTCACTCCATACAAAACGTTTTTTTAAATTATTTTATTAAAGGATTCACATCTTCATATTATTCCCCTATTTATTATGCTACTCCTCCCCCATTTATTATGCTATTCCATTCAACTAACTAATTAAAATCAGCAGAATTAAAACATAGAATCATAGTTTTACATTTCATAATTATGTGCAAAGCTCACACTAGATCTCACACAAAAATGACATTCGTGTCTCCATTGAACTGCAGATTAATGATGATAAAGAAAATTTGTTTTGTTATTTTTTGGTTAATATTTTCATTATTATTGGACATTGGGGGAAAAATTATTTTAATGATATTTATATTTTTTAACTGCTTGGTTATAACATATTATACTTAAGTTTTTACATATCTATAATAAAACTTTAGATTTGAAATTGAAAAAGGATCTTTATTTAAAAAGGTGTCCAATTTCAAGAACAATCATTCTTTAAATTTGGCACTAAAATCATCAGCATTTCTTATATTTTAAACTTACTGTTGGACCAAACACTGTTTCAAAGTAATCGTTAAAAATATTTTTAACAACTATTTTCTTCATATTACACTGTGGAAAAAGTGGCAACACAAATTTATTAGTGCAGTAGATTTTTTAATGCAAGATGCCACAGTAGATAAAGTCAAAGAAAAATGTGCCTTACTTTCTGGGCATATTCTGATGCCATTTGCTGGATCTCTTGTGATTTCATCCCCACTATGGATCCTACTGCACTGGCCGTTACTTTACCCTGGGAATTGTCAGAAAATACAAACATGCAAAACAAACATCAATACACAGACATGCATTTTCTTGACTGACACAAGTGATAAAATAGATTTGTGAAAATGGATATCTCATGATAAACCATGTGTAGTTTAAGAAGAACCTCTTTAAATTTTAAAAATATTTCATTAAAAGCACACAAAAATCATACATATTTTTTTATCCATCAATACTACAGGCTTTTTAAAGAAGAATTATGATTAGGCACTTAGAAATAGAATGTAAATTTCTACTACATCTGTCAGTTACGTTTACTGCATGCTTTGGATTGGCTTAGGAAAGTTATACTATTTGTTCAGTCTAGTTTGAGGTAACTTAAAAACACTCTTAATTCAAATTTTCATAAACATAGATTATATTTCTTGGCTTGGCATAAAGTAAGAACAGAGCTCCTCAACTACTTTCCACAGTACATAATAATAACATGAGAATTTCTGAAGCTTTGGCTACAGCTCTGAATCAGCTATTAATCAAAACAACCAAATGCATATGCAGCTAAAAATGGATGTTCACCCCATCTAAAGTTTCCAATAGAGAAGGTCCCAAAAATAGCTCTAATACAATTTTATGTACCAAAGTAAAATGGTCACGGGATATTTTAAGCAGTAATGTCACTAGGGGTGTGGAAAGCAAAGAGCGACACAAAATAAAAAATTGCCAATTTGACAGAGTACGCTCAAGTCTGTTCAAAATAAGAACTCATTATAATAGATGAGCAGTGTGTAACAAGATCAGGGTGTCACCACAGCAGGTTGCACCAGAACAGGGTTTCAACAGATCAGGGTGTCACCACAGCAGGCTGCCACCAGAGCATGTGGGCTGCCACAAGAGAAAGTTGCCACCAGAGCATGCTGTCACCAAAGAAGGCTTTCACAAGATAAGGCTTTCACAAGAGAAGGCTGCCAACAGAGCAGGGTGTCACGAGATAGAGCAATGTGTCATCAGAGAATCACAAGATAGAGCAATGTGTCATCAGAGAAGGTTGCAACCAGAGAAGGTAACAAAAACAGAAAAGGTTGCCACCTGAGCAGGGTTTCAACTGAGGAGGCAGACTCAGTGAGATCCATGAAAAGTCTGAAAAGTGGGAGAGTGGCACCATGCCTTGACGGCAATGGGTAACCCTAGTGACACCACTGGGTAACCCTAGTGAAAACACTGGGTAACCCTAGTGACACACTGGGTAACCCTAGTAACGGCACTGGGTACCCTAGTGATGCCACTGATTTATCATCCCATCAGTTCCAAGTCCAACGGGGTTAGATATTAGCCAATATCTCTACTGAACAGAGTTAATCTAGATCTGAAAGTAAGGTTTATTTCTTTGTTTTTAATACGATTGACATCATCTCCCATTTAATTTCAATATCATTTCATTTCAATCTGCAAATATTTCTGAGAATAAGTCATGTTTATGACTTAGGAGCTGGCACTGAGGGAAGCAGCGTCTCAAACAATACCAGTGTCAAATAACAAGACTTATAAACTTACATGTAAACAGACATAAAAGGCCAACTCAGGCAATGTTTTGCATTCTATAAGTGTAAAATAATTTTTTTCTTGTGTGAGATTGCAAAACCTGGCAATGATAACAATCAATATTTACCCTTATCACCAGGGAAAATAGGCGTTATGATTTAATTTATTTCTGCTTCTAGAGAATTTAGTGAAAAATATTTTGGCTGCTCCTCTTTAATTTGCATTCCCTTCTTTTGCACAGTATATTGATTATTCCTTACTTAGTAAATATTTCTTGTTGTTAACAGCCACTTGCATTGTTTGAGTCATGTCTATACATGACACTTGCACTGTTTGACTCATGTCTATACATGACACTTGCATTGTTTGACTCACGTCTATACATGACACTTGCATTGTTTGACTCATGTCTATTCCTGACTCTTTTCAAGACATAGTTATGCATCTGTTTTTCAAATTTTATATAATTTTGTTTTCAAACAGTTTTTCTGATATAACCCATCACCGCCCCTTTAGGTGGTCCCAACAGCCCCCTAAATCCACAGCTCAATTTACCGCCTCCCCCCCCCTCCCCGGGCATCCCGCCAACCCTGGGAGCAATACTGCCCACTTTGGGAGTTATGCTAGAAACTATGATAAAAATCAACAGCTAATCACATTTAAATTAAAAATAAATAGCAAGCGGCATACATTGGTGTCAAAACCAAAATAAACATATTTTAATAGCACAGCAAATTATTTAGTAAATGTTTGGTTCAAAAGAAAACAAACTGATTTATCTTTTATTTTTAAAAAAATATATTTTAAGCAACATTAAACAATGCCCACATCAAAAAGACTAGATTCATGAAAGGACAATTAAAGCCACTCAACTAAGTGAAAGTTTCCAAAATTTAGATATGTTTTTCCAAAATGAAGAAATGCATTTCCTAATTTTGTATCTTTCTCCCCCTTCCTTAGCATGATGGCATGCAATGTGGAAGGATATTGTTTAATTAGTAGAATGTAAGCAAAACCTATTTTAATTATGGGATCATCTTAACAACCAACTCTGCATATTTATATTTTGGAATGATTTAACAAAATCAATAACTGTTATTTTTTTTTAAAATTTAGTCCCGATTTAATAGTGGAGAAAAAAGAACATCCATATTTTAGTGTGAGTTTTCAAGGGATTGTGCACCTTGCTTGTTAACTGAAGACAAAATACAATGAAAATTTATATTGTAGAACTCACCTCTTGTGTTTCCATGGCAGACATGCCACTCATCAAGGCTTTGATGCGCTAAAATTTAATACACTTAAATGAGTTGTTTTTTTTCTATGTTTTTATTTTAAAACTAAAATATTTAGGAATTGTAAAATTAATGGAAACATCTTTGATCAGCTATCATTGTAAAACTAATGGAAACATCTTTCACCAGCTATCAAATTTGGAAGAAAAAAAATGTAATTCATAGCCAACTATCACAAATTATAATTCTCTAAGCATGTATGTATGTATGACTGTGATGCTGTGTTCAATAGGCATGCAAAATAAAATTCCCAGTAGCTAGCACTAATTGGGAGACTTATAGAGTGTTTTACTTGAATACATGCTTTGTCAAGTAACTTGACATAGAAGTTCAGGCATTGCCACTAAAATTGTTGGCAGTTATTTCTAGTATTTATGAATAACCAATACAACCATATTAAATACACGTCATATAACATTTAAGTCACCATTTTAACATGATTGGACCCACCTCTTCTTCAGCCTCAGCATCAACCTCCTCATCATTAGTCTCTTTAGTCAGGCCAGGGGGCAAACCTTTCTTTTTAGCTGCTCCGTCCTTAACAACAACAAAATTGAAACTTGTCAATAAAAAAAAAAAGAAAATGGATGCATTTTAAAAAAAATGAAATGTGGTCCACTGTCATAGGTGTAATCATTTTATTTTGCAGAAGTCGATAAATAAATAACATTTAATGACTATATCTATTGTGATGTATTCACTAAATTAAGACACTATCTTAACAAATACAAAAAATAGGATTCTAAACAAGTTTCTATTTTTACCTTTTGATCTTTCTCTGTGTGAATGACACCATATTGTCTGGGGAAAAAATATAAAAATTATCATTATACATTTTAATAATAAATATGATTGAAAACAGCTCACACATAAAAACTTTTTTTTCCCTTTTATGGAACTTTGGAACTGTATTTCCTAGGACAGATGTCCCCTACCTGCTTGCAGAATATGGCCACCTGGAAATACCAAATTTATAAATAGCCTATAGTCTGGATTTATATATATTATTAAAAAAATGCCCCATTAATAGGTATAGGACTTCAATGTTTATGAGGCTGCTGTTGCATAATATAACCACTTAAATTTTTATGAGGCTGCTGTTGCATTTAAACACTTAAATGGTCACATGTGACCAGTGTGCCATGGGCTGAGATCCTGCGACCAAGGAGCTAATGGTCAATTTATATCATTTAAGTAACGGTCCTTCAAAATTGGCTATAGCTGGTAGTTTATTAAGTCATCCAAACCTTCCATATTCCAGAAGCGTTGATTGGACTCTAGTCTCTTCATCCTTGAGTTTATCAACATCATGGCGACGATAACGCCTCTGAGGTCTATAAGCATCCTTAAAAAAAATTAATGAGTTCAAATGTTTCATATTAATTCTGTAGAATTTTAAACATGAGATGAGATAAGATAACAGTGCACATCCACATGAGATTAGGTAAGTCAACAGCGCACATCCACATGAGATGAGATAAGATAACAGTGCACATCCACATGAGATGATTTAACAGTGCACAACCGTCATTTAAAAAAAAAAAGATGTGATCATGACCCAACATGAGTACATAGTTCCAGTACAGCATTGTATCAGATAGTAGAATGCATAGCAAAAGGCAACCAAATTTAAATGCTTTAAAAAAAAAAAAAATGCAGTGACAGACACTAAGAACATTGATCCCTGCCCACAAAACATCTAATTTCACATTTTGTCTTCTTTCTTTCACATTCTTCATTACCTTCACGTTTGATAAAGTTTCTAAAGACTTGTCTTTCAGTGCCTCAAATGCTTCATCCTTTGAAACAGAACAAAAATTTAAGCAGAATAAACAATATTTGCATTTCTATTAGACAAATTGTATTCTCAATAGTTCTTCAAAATTATCAATCACTGAAGATAACAAGTTACATACATTGTATTTTCCCAGTCTGACTCATCATTCTCAAGCACCCAACACACATTTATCCAGCCAAAACAGATAATGTTTTTAAAGTGTAGAGGGCTGATATAATAAGTATACCAAGTAATTTTTTTCACCAAGACCCTAAAATGTAAGATGGGCTTAGAAAAAGAGATAACAAGGTTACATGTAGAGTGGTATGATTAGACTTTGGAGACAGATTACATAGAACAAGTTACGGTGACCTTGAGATAGCAATAAACAAAAATTAAAAGTACTGTATTTGTGTTCAACAAAGAGGTCAAGGTAAGCTAAGCTGCACTACAACAAAGATTAATTCTAATCCCAAAATATTATTTCCCTGTCTTTATGGTGAGCTGAAATATATATAGAAAGATATTGTGATTATAACATTATGTGGATTACATTAGGGATCTGAAAACTCTTTGTGTGATAGGCTAGGTTGGAAGTGCTTAGTGTGGGCGGAGAGACAAAATGTAACTATTAGACAGATTCTTCTTTGAACTAACTTCCTTATTTTAAAGCTTTCCCTTATATTTCTGTCAAACAAAAAATCCTTAATTACCTCAGGCATCTTGTGATTTTTGCTGAATTGAGAGATGGAAAATGCACGAATGTAATCTCCCATCTCTTCCCTTGTTTCTATAGCTCTCTTCACCAGCCACTATGTGAAATAAATAAAGGAACAAAATGATCAATGTTTGCACCTTTCTTCATTTTCAACTTGTGCAAGGTTTATCTGAGTAGGTGTTGACATAAGGGAGGTGCTATATAAGACCACTAATTATTATTATTATTATTATCTCAAACAGTAAATATTGACGCTGCTCACTTGTACAACTGGAAAAATGTGGATGAAATCCAAGCCTTGAATTTGATGGGGCTCAATCCGGTGTGGACATTTCATCCGTGGAAGGACGGCCACAATGGACTCTGTCAATGAACTTGAACGTACAAAAATTTTAAAAATGTAAGTTTCATATCTTAACAATCAAATTGATTGTTTAATTGTGTTTGACTGGGGTCACAAAAATGTGAGCACTGGGGTTATCAGTTTTGCACATAAGAAAATGTCTGGAAGATCCAGGTTAACATGGCTATTGTGAGCACCATATGAATCATTGTGCGTAGATACTGATGCTGAATCGAGCGCCTCCCCAGGTGGTGGATAGGGGAAAGCCCACCAGATATGGTGAGTACTGGGTAAATAAAACACCTAGGGCCGGACCAAAATCAGAACCTACTGCCTTTCAGGAAGAGGAGGGATCAACGAAGGCTAGGGAACCTTACCCAAAAATTAAGGGAGCTATCCAGAGAGCTGTAAGGGGCAGCCCCCCAGATGGTTGTGCGCAGGACTAAAAACCCGGCCATATAAACAAATACACAATACGAAAACCAAACAACAAAAAAAACCTGGACTGATTCTAATTGAAATCGACTAATGGCTGGATATGGACATGATTTTTGGATTGCGACTTGGAACGTACTAAGCCTGTGTTGAACAGAAGCTTTAGCCAACCTAATATATCAACTAATTAAATATAAAATCTCTATTGCTGCACTGCAAGAAATTCTATGAACAAATGAAGACATCCTCAAGACAAAAGACTACACCATATTTTATAGTGGAAAAAACACTAACACTCTTGGAACAAGATTTGCTATGAAGAAAGAAGCCGTTAGTGCAGTCATAGATTTTAAACCAGAGATTGTGCTCTTTGCTTGTGCAAGGAAAAATGTTTAATATAACATTCATAAATGTTCATGCTCCCACCGAAGATACGGAAGGTCAGATAAAAGAATTTTTTTATGAGACACTGGAAAAGATGTATGATGAGGCATCACGACATGATATTAAAACAGTGATTGGTGACTGTAATGCCAAAATAGGGAAAGAAGAAGTGTTTATGTCAACTATTGGCAAGGAGAGTCTACATGAAGTATCCAGTGACAATGGGATCCGACTCAAAGACTTTCCTTAAGGAAAAGGAATGACAGTTAGCAGCACCAACTTTCCACACAAAAATATACATAAAGTTAACTCATCAGATGGAATCACTCACAACCAAACTGACCAAAGGCATGGATATGTACAGTCTATATTAGGATCCCATGCTAGTAGCAGAAATTAAAAAAAGACGGTCTACACTGGGTGAGACACTGAGATAGAATGCCAAATGACAAAGGCGTGAAGAGAGTGTACCACCAAAACCCCAGAGGAAAACGGCTCAAAGGCAGACCTAGGCTTAGATGGATGGGTGATGTGGAAAAAAAAGATCTAAAGCAGCTGGGAATCCAAGCATGGAAAAGAAAAGCAGCAGTTAGGTCTGAATGAGAGGAACAGGTGAGGCAGGCCAAAGCCCTACATGGGCTGTAACACCACAGGGATGGATGATTTTTCCACTATCACTATAATCAGGGCCGCCCTAACAATTGCAGGGCCCTATGCGAAACGGATTGCGCGGGGCCCAGTCTGGGTAGGGATAAGGATAATAAGTGAAAATTAAGATTTTGTATTAGAAAATAAATTCATCTTTGCCTTTTATTCATTCTTTACTAAGTACAAAGTCCTTGCGTGTAGCGAAGTCATACAGTATATCATCAAAATTCTGTTTCCTACATAGATCACGCTCAATAGCAAGAATTGCCAAATTGTTCAATCTATCTTCAAGAATTGTTTACCTCAAGAAATTCTTGATAAGTTTCAGGCGCGAGAAGCTTCTTTCACCAGATGCCACAGTTACGAGTATTGTTAAAAATATTCTGAGTGCAACAAAGTAGTTTGGGAAAGCAGTGTATCTTTCATTAGTGGACAGATAAGCCAAAATTTCTACCGGGGTTTTGGTGCTATTTGGTAGAATATGCCTTAAAGATTCCATTTCATCTGCTAATTCTCGCCCACATATATCTGCTGACTGGTCTGTTGATGACGTCAATACTTGCTCGAGGCTCGCTGTAAACTTTCGTATGTCATCACGCTGACCAATACATGATTATAAGTTATAATGGTTTAATTTAATAATTTACACGCAATTAGCGCAGGACCTATGAAAGTGTGGGGCCCACTGCGGCCGCATAGTTTGCAGTGGCCTAAGGCCGGCCCTGACTATAATGTAAATTTGCGATGCTCCAAAGATGTATATTCATTGCACTCTAATATGCACACAGTGCTGCGGACTGAGTGATGCATGCTCTTTCAAAAGTTCTTAAACATTTTTTTCCAAACCAATAGTGGTCAGTCATGAGGACATAAAATATTAATGAAGGTGATCATTTTAAAAAGTTAAATGAATGCCTTGGAACAAATGGCTCTGAAATGAAACTTGTATAATGATACCACCTCACTGTTAAAAAAAAACCAGAAAAAGCATAAGCTCTATAGCAGTGGTTCAAAACTTTTTGAGCTCACCAGAATTTTTTCAAAAATATTTTTCTTCTAATGCATTGATTTCAAACTAAGTATACTCACATTTTCTGTCCTATAGTTGAGTTTTCTTGAAAGAGCAAATCTACATCAACATCAAAGTTACATGTGGTGATACACCAGGTCATTCCTCCAACTACCTGATGGGAAGGAACATGTTAAGTTAGACAGTGATAAAACAGGGACTACCTAAGTCACTCTTCATGAACTCCCATTTCAGAAGGCCTGTTTTATGATAATTGATGATGCAGGATCCTTATTCTTTACTTAAAATTATCATGGCACTATGTATAATGAGTATCTATAAAATCTCTTTGCATTTATATCATTATTTGACAGTGCTGTTAAATGCACTATTATTGGCTGATCAACTAACACCTTCGGGACTTTAAAAAATCTACGTTGTAAGTACAAATGAGATTATGAAAGTATGAATAAAAGCAGCTAACTCCCCAGTTTACTAATGACACATAACTGAAATGCTAGCTATAATGTTTTGATTATGGTAAGTAACAGTAAACAAAAATATATTTTTAACACACACATTTGCCTTATTAAAAAATCATTTATTCTTCTTGTATTTTCCCAAACGCAATGTTGTAACTAGCTATTGTGGCATTTCAACTTCACTCTGAATAAAGACAGGCTGCATTGAAAATGGTATTCAAAATACAGATCCTGAATTGCTGAAGTAAATAGAGGCAGAGATGAGGTGTGCATTGAGTAAAGGCATTGAACCAACATTTGTGCAGTCTCTCAATGAAAAGGAAAAGAATGTGAAATCTGTCAATAAAGTATGTTACATTTGTATAAATAATCAACTCTTCATAGAAATAATAATACATCTAAGTCTTTTTTTTAAAATACTAACTTTATCAAATGGAGACAACCCTTTTATGCGAGCTCTAAAGTATCCAGCAGCAAGTAATAAATCAATTGTTTGTTGTAGCTTAATATTTTGCTCTTCATCTTCTCTAGTTTCAACCTGCAAAGATACAACATACTTAGGAACTATAGTTCACAATTTATAATGTAACATTTCTAAAACATGAAGATTACTACTTATGAATAGTGTTTATTTCTTAAAAAATTAACTTAGTAAGTCATAATTCTACATATATAGATAGAAATGTTGATTTACGACTAGAATTTGTGACCTGTAAAGAATACAAAACTCACTAAAAGTGTAAAGGATTTTTCTACAAGTCATATCAGTCTTTAACTTAAAAATCATGTTATTATCTAGCTATCTATTAATAGGGTTAAGCACAGGGAAATGAATCAATTAGTAGCAAGTGACCCACCTCTCAAGTAAGCTTAACATTGTTTTTCATTCAATAGACAAAAGCAATTAAGCAATTATTAAAACCAACTCTTGTATAGTTTAATTCAGTTTAAATATATATAATTACATTAATTAAATCCCAGGATTTCCTGAGAACCCTAGATGAGAGTGACTTTTGTCCTATTTTCCTGGGATAAGTGAAACCTCAGTAAAAGAGAAACCCTAGTAGACAGAAGTAATATACTAGAATTTACAGTCTAATCACTATTATAATAGATTCCTAAATACTAAGCTGTTCAGAGATTTTGACAAAATGAATAAATACATTTATTAGAAGTAGATAAGATAGCAATATGAAAGTGTGAATCGTCTTTCCCTCCCTAGATATGATGTGACTTTCAAGATCTTGAATGACACCCCATGGCCTACCTTGACTAAATATCAATGAGAATTCCCAACACTGCGCCAAACACACACATCTTTCATATAATGTAAGTAATCAACATTAACAAAAGTAATGTTCATGGTGGTCACGCTATTGGCTGCAATTTTTTTTTGCGAGGGGGCCGCATTTTTAATCCTCTTCATATGCTATATATATGGCTTATTTTTTATGTGTATAGCTATTAGGGCTTTAGGCCTCCTGTCTATAAAAAATGCTATATAACCTATATTAAGCCTATGCCTATAGCTACAAATATAACTTATAACATACTTATAGCCCAATAGGATCAAAATAGAGCACGAGGGTCATGATGCGTTTACATGTTTTGTTTTAATGAGTGAGCTGCCCTTTGTTTACAAAGGGACACACCGATTGATGATGAGATCGATGATTTCATCATCATAATTTTTAATTAATATTTGAATGCAAGGTAAAATATTGGGAGTGATTGTAGCAGAAGTCTGGTCATCTTGATAAAAGGTTTATCACTTTTATCAATTCACTGACATTGTGTTTTACTTTTGGTGGAATAAAGTGTGTAAAAGTGTATTCCATGAAGCTGTAAGTTTGGTTTGCATCATTTTTAATATTTTGATAAACAATTCAAAATTCTTTATTGCATATTTCCGCTTTACAATTTTCAACACAATGTGTAACTAGCACACATGGAAAGCAGAGGTTTAGTGAGAGCCGAGGTTTAATGATACTTGAGGGGCGGGAGTGGCCACATGTCATTAACACTTCTTGCAGCATATCTACGGGGGACTATGTTTGACTCAAAATAAATGTACGGACTGAAATTATGTCAAGAAAGGGGAAACCGCATGTAATTTACACTTCTTCCACATAGCTAGAGGGATAGAATAAAGTTGCTATGTCTGCCATGGACCAAATGTATCGCTAATTTTCTCCTTTTACCACTGTGTTGTGAAATACTGTTTTTTTATGTGTCTGCTGACTTTGCAACAAAGATGGCAGTCATGTCAAAAAAGTAGTATACAACATGGGTGCTATTTTATTGAGATGGGAATTGAACCCTTCTTTAAAAAGTTCATGTCAAGGTTGGGTTCATTAATAATTTAAGTTTGGGTTGGGTTCAGTAGCGGCTTAAGGTCACACTGGATAAAAGGAGTCGGCTACAGTGGTTTTGTTTAATTTGTCACGCATTATAGAAATCAAGCCTACACGTGAAATGGTGTTTAGGAAGGGGTGGGGGGGGGGGGTGTTCTAGGATTAAAATATAAATATAAGCATTTCTGGTACCTGCCACATTCGTAAAACATTGGTTATAATAAGTATCAATAGGTTTGTTCGGGTTGGTTCATACTTAGGGATTTTGAAGTTTGAGTTTGGTTCTGTCATCAGGAGGGTTCTGGTTTGGTTGTCAGCAGGGTAAAGTTTGGTTCCCATCTCTAGCCCTACATCATGACCCCTCTCATCCAATTCTACCCCCATTTGAATTACTGTTAGTGTTACTGTACTGTAACTGCAAGTAATACGTAGGCCTATAAAAGTGATAGTACATTGGCCAGAAGATAAGCATAAAAAAGTAAGTAAGGGAAAGCCTGAAAAAAAAAAGAAGCAACAAAACATTAACATTACGTTACTTTGTTTCGCTTATTTCCTTATTTGATAGATGTTCTATCTACCAAGACCTAACATGATTGCAGTCTCTCCCCCATATTACTAAGGACTAAGACTAGGTACTTTGACACAAAATTTAAATATTGTCCGATCGACATGAATGATACATCATTTTAAAGGGCTAGCTATAAGCTTTACAACAACATCAATTTCATCTTTCTATCTTTTATAGAAGTGGAGTTATGATTTTTTTGGTGATTTTTTAAGACCCCCTTCTTTATCTTAGTATTTAACTGAAAAAATGTGTGACCCACTTTCCAAATTTCTGCCTTATTTTGCCCAAAACTTTTGGATTTTAAAAGATAATGCTACCAAATTTTCAGGAGACAATCTCAATGCAATATACAACCCAATAAACAACAAAACTTTTACATAACATCAAGACTTTTATTTTTTTAAATTATTTATTTGTGGGTATGTTCAGAAAAAAGTGAACAGAAAAATTGGGAAAATCATCACTATACAGGAAAAAACGAAAAAATAACATGTTTATTGAATTTTAACTAATTTTATTATGCTTGATTTACATTTTAAATCAATTATTATATTTATAAAAAGGTAAGTAGTCTTTTTATATATATATAAATTGGAACGCATGTAATTATAAATAAAAAATACTCAAAATCATCTATGATGATGAGACTAATTTATTAAAAAATGTTATTTGATAAATTAAATAATTGTCTATGTACTGCTTTTCTATGTTCTAATAAAAAATATAATTACAACGATGATGTTGTTTGATTCTTGTTTATTTATTTGATGTATTTTAATAAAACTGTTATATATATGCTTAACTAAAAAATATATTATTAGTAAGTGTGGTTCTTGATTGTCGTAGTACTAGTAATAGAATTATGATTATGAAAAATTAAGCTTAGGCAGGATTATAATAACAGTTGTTTATAATTATAACTGATATATCGGCCTAATTTTAGTAATATTCTCTGAAATAATTATTAAGAGAAAAACGATTATTATTATTGACATTACTATTATAACACTATTAAATTTAAATATTGATTCAATAATTATGAAGAACGATAAACTGTCTACCGGTACCGTACACAATTTTTAACGTAATAAATAAAACTTAAAACCAACCCTTGGTTACTACATAATTAAACTTTGGTTATAATCTTTTCTTAAAATTATTCATTTTAAACGTCTTATCATTATTTAGCTGTTTAAGGATTTAACATTAACGAATCACAGTGATAGCAGCCATTTCCGGCTTCTTGATCAAAATAAAAAAATGACAATTTTGTACCCCCACTCCTTCGTGGGATGCATAACTTTTTATAGACAAAGTCAAGATAATAACTCAAATAATGAAAAAAGTCTTAAAATGAATGTAGATTGGGTATAACTAAACCTTATTTTGGTTGCTTAACTAGTAAAAAAGTATTTTATACGATTTATATACTAACCGAGTCATTATAATAATACTGTCCGGGATACACAAAAAAATCTAGTGGCATAAATCAATATATCACCGGAACACAAAAACTGATACGTCACTGATGAGGAAAGCATTATTTAATAAACAAAGGCTACGTAGTATGCAATTTTCCAAAGATACCGTGTAGCCGTACGCCATATTGTAGAACACATTTTATCGACATTTTAGGACATGCGCAGAACTGTGCGTGAACAAGTATTGTTATCCCTACTAAGACAACTAAGTAGAGGAAACTAAGTCCTAAGTAAGTAAAAGTATCAATCAATTATCCAATATTTGAATAAAGTAAATGATCAATAATTCGATCATTTTTAAATGCCTTAGTCTTAGTTGAATTTGAACTTAACACTTGGGTTGGGGGTTGCACTTAGGCTTAGGCCCAACTGCATTAACAACTTCGCTTGGAACTTTATAAAAATTTGTAATAAAATTTATAAATTAAATTAAATTGTTTGTTGTTTACTTCTTTCTCTCTCACCATGTTTCTAGACACTAAATACTCTAATGAAATCTAATGCTTGGGAGACAAAAATATGTATCGGTTTCAATTTTGAAATGGGGATAAAAGGTATCATCAAAACTTAAAAACCTCCACTTTGTTTCCATCTGCATCAACAGAGGCAAATTTTTCTGATCCCGAGCGAATTCTCCCGGCGAATATACTTCCACTGGAGATTGTCGCCATTTTTCAATCAGTCATGTGACTAAAAGAAACCATAAGTCATGTGACTAAACGAACCGGAATTGTATTATAGGGGATTCCGACCCGTACTACTTCCATAATTTTCGTTTTTAATAGACTAAACAACTAGCTATTAAATCGACGCTTTTGATTGGTTAAAGACTGTCAGCCGAGATCCAAGACTACTCTGTGGCGTGATAAAGTCGGTCAGCTATCTTTCGATGTGTTTTTGTCAGCTGTTATGGTGGAAAGATATCTCACCATTTAGAAATGTTGTAACTTGTAGTCTGATGTAGTTAAGTGACACCAGAGGATCTTTTCACATTCCATGACCTTGTGCTGTAGCATGTAGTGTTTTGCAATAACATATCATTTTCTTTATGATTTTTGCTGAGGTTGACGCAATTAATTGGTAATTGGCGTACTTTGACTTTCTTCTGTTCGAAAGTCTCTGATTTGAATCTCATTATTGTTCAAGCAAGTAGCCAAGTAGGTAATCCATACACAATATTTAGTAAGTTATTAACTAAGCCATCTTATTTTAAAAGGAAATACTTTTCTGGTGACATATTTTGTAGTTCCAGTTGTATTATTAAATTATTTTAAGTCTCAAACTAAAGTTCATGGACATGACATGAACTGCTTAAGTCGAGTAAGCCTAACTTTAAAGCCAAGCTAAGAAAACTGCCTGGCCTTGACTCTGCTGGCTTTGAGTTATATTAAATTATTATTATATTTTACATCACATGCCTAGTTAAAAGTTACATTTATTATGTCCCATATGCATACCATATTATATAAATACTATTATTATAAGAAGAAAGAGGGCTTATTGTTTATAGTTTATTTGGCATTCACCTGAGTGAATCTGCTGGCCATTTTCCAAAATGATACATAATAATAATAATAATACATCATACTTTTACACTGCACTCAAATCTGTCAAATCCAAATTTAGATTTCTCAGGAAAGTGAGACTTCCATTTGTTCTTTTGCTTGGGCTTCTTTAAACATTTGTGCAATAAATGATGCATTCATTACTAAGTCTAAGTAATAATTAAATAAGCTACTGTAGTTGTAGATTGTAATTGTAGGTTATAATTATTATAACATATTAAAACTAGTTATGGTATAGTTATAATTATAAGTCAAGTTATACTAGTATAAAGCCTATTTCTTTGGTTTCTGAATCCAGGTTATCAATCATCAATGATACAAATAGACTCTTTGCTTGAACTTAGTCTTTATTATTAAAACTGACTCAAGAGTCTTAGTAATAATAATTATAGTTCCATCATGATCATGCCTTCAAAAGGGGCACCACAACAATGACAATCCTCTAAGTATTATGGTTTTATGACTAATTTAGATGTGGTACCAAAACCAATATGATTACATAACTTTAAAAAAAAAATATTTGTATATTCTTCCAGGTCAGGTTCCTCATGGGCAGCATAAAGAATCTAGTAGCCAGGGGCTCAGTCCTTTTTCTTATTGGTGTTTTCTTTGCACTTGTGCTTAACCTACTTCAAGTTCAACGACAAGTAACTGTTTTTCCACCAGAAGTCCTTGCCAGTTTATTTTCATCTGCTTGGTGGGTTCCACCCAGTTGTGGCACTGCTGCAGGTATATTATCTTTATAATATTAATAATAAATAAACCTAATTAGTGAATTGATAAAATTTATATATAGCGGTAAAATATTGATTGGAAAAAAATTATTAACTATATTTATTGAAAATTCGCAATTCATTTTAAAAAAATATTACTCTGTTCTATAAAACACAAAATATTAAAATTGCAGTGATATGATGCAATTTTTTTTTTTTTTTACAGCTGTGATTGGACTGCTATACCCATGCCTTGATAAGCAGTTAGGAGAAGAACTACGTTACAAAAGAGAATGGAGTAGTGTAATGAGATGTGTGGCTGTATTTGTAGGAATAAACCATGCTAGTGCTGTATCCTTCAAAAAAATTCCTTATTTAAATTATAGTACCATTTCATCTCAACTAAGGCAACTTTTTCTAATCATATTCTTTTGTTAACCTGTTTAAGTGGTGTGAGCTTAATTTTAGCACTTTTATTAATAAACTTGAATTTTATATTTTAAAAAGGAAGATGTTAGCCAATGCCCGTATGTTTGAATTTTGCCTTAACATGCTTCTCAGAAAATTGACTTTGCCAATAACATCCAGCTCTCTGTTAGTTTGGCAGCTATGTCTATTGGACTTTGGTGGCTGTTTGATAGGTCTAGATCTGGATTTGGTCTTGGTGTAGGGATTGCAGTGCTGGCTACATTTGTCACTCAACTTCTAGTCTACAACGATGTTTACAGGTAGGAAAATGTTTCTTCAAAATACACATTTAAATGTTCCTTTCCTCATAAAGATCAGAGGTCCTGAAAATAGTCTTTTGTTGATTTTACTTCATATACCGGTATTATTATAGATATAGTGAGACCAAATTTTTAAATTCTTTATTGTCCTTTGTTACAGAGTATTTGCATGTGAGAATTATATATTGGTTTGTTGTTATTTTTTATATGAAAGTAAGTTTTTGACATCATCTATCAAACAGATATACTGAGCCAGACTTTCTTTTTGTAAGATCATGGCTTCCCTGTGTCTTTTTTTCTGGTGGAGTAACAATGGGCAATATAGGCAGGCAATTGGCCTCAGTAAGTTCAGTAAGTTGGTTTCTTTTTATGTCTTTTTAAGCAATTTCAATGTTTTTGTTAAAAAGGGTTTCACCTAGTGTTTATCTCAAAGCACTCGATTTGGAATTTTAACCCATTTATTTGTATGCCTTTTGGATAACTCATTTAAATTTTCTTTATAAATGATAGACAGGTGAGAATAAATATTTAGATGCTCACTAAAAATGTTCTTATTTTTTTTTCTTTTCAGTATGATGGTGACTCAAACATTGAACAAAGAGCCAAAAAGGACTGAAGCCAGTCAGCTCATTTGTATTTTGGATCATTTGTGAGAAAATTGATCTGCAGCTGGTAGCTACCTGAACCCCAGCATATTTTGCAGATATGCTTCCTGTAATTCCTATGCAATGGCTAACTACAACCATGTATGTTGATTATGCATCCTTCCACAACACCTTTAAACCACATTTACCCGAGTTCCGGTGTTTGTGTTGGTGTGAATGTTGCTACAAGACAGTCTTGTATGGTTTTGTGAAGTATGACTTCAGTCCTATGAAGTTTCATCTCTGAAAAAAATCTTACTCCCTATAAAAACTGCTTCTTAAATTATAATTTTTTTCAACAACTCCAATATTAAGTCTTGAATTTGACTCGGTGAATAATTTAATAAGCCCATGTGCTATCTGCATGTTGAAAGAGTTTTATCAGTGCTGGAATTAATTCCTATTAAGTAAGAATGCTGTGCATCTGTGTCTGGTTAGAATTGATTGAGGAAGACCCTATTTTATGTTAAAATTGATGGGTAATTTATCAATCATTTGAGTTATGTAATAATATTATTTTTTTTTTTTTCCTTTTGCTGAATATGTGTAAAATGTAAAAAATAATGAACTTTTAATGACCATAAATTGTGCATTTGAATCTCTGGTAATAATAAGCCCCAATAATGGAATCGTCCCCAATATTGAAATCGTCCCCAATTTTAAATTCATTGGCTCCATCATTCTTACTTATAATTTTTTTTTTTTGTTATATGAATGGATAATTAAGAGTTTTCTAGTTTGTCAACTGTAGTCTGTAGTAAGCAATAAAACATTCAATTTTTTTCTTTTTTTTTTAATCTGTAATAAACTTTGAACACCTGGTTGAAGCAAAATTATTTTTTTTATAATTTTATTTTTATTTAACCATAATGGGTTTTTTGAGTTTAAAGGAATAAAAAAAAAATTTTTTTAAGGAAATTAAAAAAAAAAATATTTGTTATGTAAAAATTATCTACCTTGCTTCTTGTTTGAGATTTGAGATGTCCTTGTGTACAAAATTTAAATTTTAGTTGGACACTCACAAATTCATTGAATTTAATTCTTTCGAATTTTTTGGCAAATATTGCTTTAATTTTAAGATCTTATTCTCCTATAAATTTTTTTTTACAGTATCGGGTGTAAGAATTGGGAAAATTACTGGGGGTATTAATTGCCACCTTGTTTTTCCCATTAGTTTTATGTTCATCAGCATTATAGGAATGGACCATAACAGTAACCCTAAAGTTCTTGGTATAGATTGTTTCTGCCATTGAGTTTTGATAGCTATTGCTATCAATGGATTTATTACATGTTCAAACTATTGTTTCCTACCCTCTTAATGAGGGGGTTGGTTTTCCTGTCATCTCAGACATGCATAGAATACATAAAACATGTTTGCTTAAACTGGGAGATGTTGGCTCACCTAATAAATCCTGTCCCTTTAATACACTCGGCATGATAGATTTGTTACTTAGTCAATGATTACATGTAAACCTGCTTGGCCAGGTGGTGTCTAAAGGCAGTGAAAGAGCTAAATAATAATAGTGTGGCCATGATAATTTCATTTTAATGAACTCTTAGTGTAGATCACATTGTTATTACGACCTCCCTTTAAGGGGGACCCTGTCAGACTATTCCATTAATCTTTACCCCATTGTCTCATTCTCAATGTTTGTTTGTTTTAATGGTTTATAATGTTTTATGATTTAGCTTTACATGTATTTGTAAAAAAAAAAATGTATGTTCCTATTGCATTTGTTACTTGGAATTGTTGAAATAACATTAAATGTATGGTTTGGTATTTGCCAACTTTAATGACATAAGACTTGAATTTATAATGTTTAAAAATGTTTATGGTAAACATTTCTTGAACATTTTTGGTCATTTCGTCAGTTTATGTTTCACTCAGGGTTATTTTAGTTAAAGTTTTATAAAGGAAAGAAAAACCTTTTAAAATTTATATCACCATATATCCTTTCCAAGAGTAAAAATCCAATAGCCAAGAATATAATCCAGAATAAATATATCAAGTTGCTCTTACCCTCTACAAGCTCAGTGTAAGAGAAGGCTGTTAAAATTTTTTTTTTTTTGATTTCATGAATTATAGCCTACATGAAATCTTCTATACCTGAACCTGTAGTTTTAGTATATAATCCCAGCTTGAGATCCTTTGCTATACTTTTCTGCTTGACTAATAGCACATCCTTGCGTGTGTGATAGCATGCTATTCAAGGATGAGTATATGCACTTCTCAAGTGAAATCTATAAAATAAAGAGGGCATTTCATATTGTATCCTGCAAATATTTGGAGTGTACATATATAAATAAAATGATCTATTTGAACAATGAAACGAATGTTCTCAGCTTGTTTCTGTAGAAATTACATGGTGTGTCGAATTAACCTTTTTACAACAGTAGACACTAAGTTATGTTAAAGTTTTACCATATCGCGTCGCTGTCAAAATAACATTTGTTGAGATAGCCATTGAAGGCAATTCAGATATAAAAATTTGAGAACACTAGTCTTAAACATTTAAGAAATATTTTGCCTCACAAAGTTGTATTTTATCAATTTTTATTTTCTTCCCAAATTCTAAATTTTAAGTATAAATTAAGAATTTAAAAACAGCCAAAAAGTAAATCAGAAACTTAAAAGCGTCATGTGAATGAGTGTATTTAGATATATTTTTTTTTAATTAAGAGTAGACTGTGCATATCTTGAATTATCCAGAAATATCCTAAAGCTGCACCAAAAAATAAAGTTTAAAAAAAAAAATAATAATACCCACTATAGTATTTCTATAATACAGGAAAAGGGGGGATTATTTTGTTTTCATTGGGGTTGTACTTTTCTGTTTTCTTTCCCCTGATTATTTCCCTTTAACAAACGGTTTCCCAACCTTTCCTTTAGTCTGCACCTAGTGGCGTAGGAAGTGGGGTGCTAATCATGCTGCAGCTTTAGGCCCGTTCCTGTAGTGGGCCCATATGAAGACAGGCGAGAATTTTTCTGAAGCTGTGCAGTTTTCATTTGCTTTATAAACCTTAAAATAGTTCTTGGAATGAAATTTGATGTCCGACACCTAGACGCAGCGTCACGTGCTGTCGGGTTATTGTTGTTTGCCCTGTGACGTACCTAAAACGTTCTGTGCCGACCTTAGCGTACACTATTTTCTAAAGCGGCACTTTTCTATCGGGGGGTAAATTCCCGGGAAAAAAAAATTATAACATGACGCCCCTCACTCCCATGATTGTATCTATTGAGAATATTAATTGCACCCCTAACATGTGTACAAATGTTCAAAAGTGACAGCAGCAAATTTAATTGGTTAAGTCATGTAATACGTTGAATTATCATTATTAAAATTTACAAAAAAGATAGCCATTTCCGTCAAAGATGTCAACGGTTTTCCAGTACGTCTGAAGCAGGTATCCCTATTCTTGATTGATATTAATTTTGTTGAATTATATGAACAAACTGTGAGTTGTATTTAGTTATTAAAAAATAAAATGAAAATACATGAGCGCTTTACTTAAGAGGGGAGGCACATCCATAACATTAGGTCGACTACCAAAATATTCACACACACAAAAAACAACCTATTAAAGCTACAAGTGTCAAATTTTTACTGAAGTTAGATGAATAGCCATACTACCATAATAACATAAAATACCCAAAATGATACATAAAAGTTTGCTTACATTGAAAAAAAAAAATGATGCTGGAAATCGGCATGTATGACAGAAAAAAATAGTTGGAAAGTTTTAAGCTTAAATTTATTAATGTTTTTCTCAACCACAAAGAAATATGGATAGCTATGGCCCGGACTAGGAACAATTGCAATTTATTGAATACTTTTTGTATCACAGCATTCCAGAATATCTGAATTTTGACTCTTGAAAAAAGATTGTAAAATGTGTACTTATTAATATGTTTAGTTCATTCCATAGACAATTCTATATCACTAGTCGACCCGCGACGTAGCATACGTCGCAGAATGGCTCATAGATGAGTGAAGACTTCGTGAAAGACACAGTTGTCTAAATGGGGTGGGTTTGAGGATACAACTGTGATTGCGTGAAAAGATTGAACTCTAGAGAGAGCTACATACAACTGTCCGTGACTGAAGACCGGTTTTGGTAGATCGAGGCATATCTTTTTGAAAGTTTGTCCCTGTGCCTTATTAATTGTCATTGCAAAGGCTAATCTAAGAGGAAATTGTCGCCGTGTAAAAATAAAAGGTAAATTTGAATCTGATGGTAAGCTACATCTTGAACTGCCATTACTCACATGACCACACTACACAAATAACAATACGTCATATCCCCTTTCGCGCAATGCGTCACAAAATATCAAACATTTAATAACAATATCTTCCCATCTAGTAAAGTTACTTGACAAAACATGAACTCAAGTAACGCACATTTAAGAATCTCAATATTTGCCACACCCCTTCCCCCATGATACGTCACTGCCCACTTTTTATTTCACGTCCATGAACTATATTAATATTCTCATGTCCCAACCACTTTTAAATTGAATATTTTTTACACAATACTTAAATTGAGACGATTTCATTTCCGAAAAGAAAATATTACGCACCAAAACGCAATTGCGTTATTAAAAAATATGTATATCATTTAGCGTAGTTATCGGGAATTATATTTTGCGCGCTAGTGAACTCATTATTTAACCACACTCTGGCGTATCTATATATAGCCTGCGAGGTGGTGTTTGACCTTTGCTGGCGAATTATATATCACTAGTCGACCCGCGGCGTAGCATATGTCGCAGAATTGCTCATAGATGAGTGAAGACTTCGTGAAAGACACAGTTGTCCAAACTATATTAATATTCTCATGTCCCAACCACTTTTAAACCGAATATTTTTTTTTACATATTACTTAAATTAAGACGATTTCATTTCCGAAAAGAAAATATTACGCGCCAAACGCAATTGCGCTATTAAATATATATATATATATATATATATATATATATATATATATAATTTAGCGTATTTATTACTTAAATTAAGACGATTTCATTTCCGAAAAGAAAATATTACGCGCCAAACGCAATTGCGCTATTAAATATATATATATATATATATATATATATATATATAATTTAGCGTAGTTATCAGGAATGATATTTTGCGCGCTAGTGAACTCATTATTGAACCATACTCTGGCGTATCTATAAATAGCCTGCGTGGTGTTTGACCCGTCTTGTTTGACCTTTGCTGGCGAATTATATATATATATATATATATATATATAGATAGATATTAAATACCGTCGAGGCAAAATTTCAAACCAATTGGTTGATATTGAAAAAAGTTATGCCTAATTATATGAACTAAACGTCAACATTTTGTAAATAAGCATGCAATAATTTTGTTCATTACAAAAATTCCTTCTCTAATCTTAACAACCCCCTTAAAGATAAGGATGTCCTCTAACCCTAATTTCAGCCTTCTTCTGGCTCTTCTAGCTTCTAAGGGCTCAGTCATTTGTTTTTGTGCCCTCGATATCAATATCCGCTTAGCACCAAAATAGTCGAATGTCAACTGACCACAGTGACCACAGAAAAGCTGCAAAAATCTTAGAGGAGCCTACAATGCTTTGGATCCATTGTTGAAAAAGAGGGTTGCTAATCCAAGACCTATCTGAAAGCTCTCAAACCATTATATTTTGTTCTTAGGGCACATTTTCAACATAATACTATTCATCGATTCGTTCGCATTTTAAGTATAACCATCTAGATATCTACTAAAAAAAATACTTGGATGGGGCAGGTCTAAAAAATTGGTTTTATTATATCCTTTCTAATGATTCACGGTTATTACAAACATTTAAAATTAATGAAATGATTTTCAATTTCTTAAACTTCACTTTAATCTGAATGAGAATCATTGGGTGTGTCAAGACCACTACATTTGGGTATTTTTGTTAGACAAGTGTCATTCTGAAGTATTTCATCTTCAACGATTCAGTGAAATCAGATAACTGTATTGATTATTTACATTTAAAATATCTATATTGGGTCAAATATTGGGCTAAGTATTTCTATTTTCATGATAATTTCGTTTCTTTGAATTATTGAATATCCTGAATATTTGTTATCACTAGGCATTTTAAACAAATTATAACGAAATATATGGAAGCCCCCATCTTCAGAAGGACTGTGAATTGTATTAAACAAATAATACGAAATATATGGAAGCCCCCATCTTCAAAAGGACCGTGTATTGTATTAAACAATTATTGGGGATGCCACCGTTGTTTTAAAATAGTTAATTCAGAAAAAATAAAATGATTTGGGGGGGNAGTTTGCTGCACTTATGCGCAATCAGCGCTGATACAGTTTGCTGCACTTATGCGCAATCAGCGCTGATACAGTTTGCTGCACTTATGCGCAATCAGCGCTGATACAGTTTGCTGCACTTATGCGCAATCAGCGCTGATACAGTTTGCTGCACTTATGCGCAATCAGCGCTGATACAGTTTGCTGCACTTATGCGCAATCAGCGCTGATACAGTTTGCTGCACTTATGCGCAATCAGCGCTGATACAGTTTGCTGCACTTATGCGCAATCAGCGCTGATACAGTTTGCTGCACTTATGCGCAATCAGCGCTGATACAGTTTGCTGCACTTATGCGCAATCAGCGCTGATACAGTTTGCTGCACTTATGCGCAATCAGCGCTGATACAGTTTGCTGCACTTATGCGCAATCAGCGCTGATACAGTTTGCTGCACTTATGCGCAATCAGCGCTGATACAGTTTGCTGCACTTATGCGCAATCAGCGCTGATACAGTTTGCTGCACTTATGCGCAATCAGCGCTGATACAGTTTGCTGCACTTATGCGCAATCAGCGCTGATACAGTTTGCTGCACTTATGCGCAATCAGCGCTGATACAGTTTGCTGCACTTATGCGCAATCAGCGCTGATACAGTTTGCTGCACTTATGCGCAATCAGCGCTGATACAGTTTGCTGCACTTATGCGCAATCAGCGCTGATACAGTTTGCTGCACTTATGCGCAATCAGCAACCGGTGGCTGTGAACGAATCACCAGAGCCTTCCACGTGCAGGCTTTTGTCAGCGCTGAGTCTTTCTCAGATATTTCCAAACGTCAAGCTTGGGTTGCGCATCTTTTTGTGCATGATGGCGCCCATTGCCTGCTGCGAGCGGAGCTTCTCGCAGTTCGGAACAGTCAAAGGAGAGCTGCGGTCCTTAATGGGGCAGGAAATGCTAAGCATAATAGCGCTTATGGGCATTGATCACGAGCTGCTGCGCAATCTTGACTTTACTGACACGAATCGAAGAATTCGCGCTTCCCAAGGTTCTGCGAAAAACAGCAATATGAGATAAGTAAGTAGCACTAACGCA